AGGAGGAACACTGATTTTTTTTTTTTTAAGTACAGCAAAGTTTTGAGGACTGCTTAAGATGAACGTCACTCAAGTTGGGAAAAGGAAAGTAAAAAAACCCTGTCATCTGGAATGGACTGCTCAGTTCAGAACAGGACAGAACTTCTGTATTATTATGTGGATGATGTTCTATTACATAGTCACAACAAATGAAAGTTACAGAATACTGCTTTTAATAGAAACTTGTCTTTAAAACTCTAAGAACTTGGGCTAACTTAAAATAAAAAGAAATAGCAGACAAACTCAACAAAACTCAACAAAAATACTCAATATATATGACGAAAGTGTGTAAGCACTTTTTTTAGAGTGAATTCTAGAAAATATGCTCCACTTCTGAAAACTGCATGACGTAGCCTTAGCAATATGAGAAAATTTTTTTTACAAATAATCAAAACTGAAAGGAGTACAGCATGAATATGAAAGAGGGATAGGAACATAAATTTTTGGAATTAAGCATAGTTTGAGTTTTCAGCATAAGACATTAGAAATGAAAAAATATCAAATTTTAAAGAAAGTAATGTAGCAGCTTCACTTTTTCTTTTTTTCTTTGGTTTGGTTTGGTGTCTACTCCATGATCCCACTAGAGCCTTCCCTAGAAAAATGTATTAGCTGGGCTTAAGTTACATGCCTCTCAAATACAAATGGAATTATGCACTACATCTTACTGCAAAGATTAATAGCATAACATCTTCAGAATTAGTAAAGGCTTAACATCTTCACTTTTTTACTTTGCAGTTTGGTTTCCAGAGTAAAATTACTTAGAAAGAAATACCAATATTTGAATTACTAGTGACAAAAAAAGATAAAAATTTAAAACTGATGGCATTCTGCTTATATCTGGATGCATCTGTATTGATGGGTAATGCGTGTTTTTTGTATGGATATTTGGCTAGCATCAGTCACCTATTTCTCATCATTCCAGAAAATAAAAGATAGCAATTCAAGTAAAAATTCCCAATATAAGAACTATTTATTTTGGAAAAGATTACATACCAGGGCCTTTTATACTGTACCAATGAAAATGCTTTATATCAAAGGTAACCTTGCCTGAACAATTAAAACAAAACAGAAATAGAGTTGTAGGCTGGTATGAACGTTTCCCTCTATTATTGTTTGTATCTGCATGTTGCCCTCTACTTTTTCTCCTGCCATAACCACTGCTTTCTTCTTCTTCTGAGTCATAGTGGAAATAAGGATGCACTATGTATGTATGTATATGCATTATTATGATAAATCACTGAATACTGATTTTGTGGAGCTACAGCAAATTCTAATTAGTTACTTTTGTGTAGATATAGAAGCATGGTTGTAAACAGACAACCACTTGCTTCTCTCTAACTCTCAACCCTGTCCATCCTTTTCTATTGCTCTGGAAAGGAATCAAGGTGTATAAGCCTGAAGTCCATACTCTATACAAATCCATTGCTTGTGAAGGCTGCTCTTTTCTCCTGCATAAGCCAGGTATATGCAGAATGAGAAGATGCAACAAAGAAGATGATAAGAGGAAAAGCTATCAGATCAGTGACTGGAGAAAGAATGGGAGCTAACAAGTTTACTCTGCTAAACACAACCTATACATTTGAAAAATATTGGACTATTAACATTTTTTTAATTCAGAAAAGAAATCTTTATGCATTATGTTACTACAGCAATAGGAAAGAAGTGATATGCATACGAATTCCTCTTTTTTTTAATTGCGCTAGTTCTTCTCCATAACTGCATCACCTCAAATTTTTAGTGGGTTTGGGATTTTCTCATCAGCAAAGACAAAAAATAGATCATGTCTACCAATACAGAATCCTTTAACACTGCACAGATCTAGTCAAAGAGCTTCCAGGGTTTCATCTCTCTCATTCTAAATGATCTTTCTGCATTGCATTTCTGTAAATATATCACATTAGTGTAAACTTTTTTCTGCAACCTCTTCCACCCTTTGGGAGGCCTGGAAAGCATCCAGGAGGATCAGCCTGGACACAAGACACTTAACACAATTTTATCATAAAATTTTGTTGTCAAGTTATTTATGTGCCATCATTTAAAAGCAGAAGAATCTAAACAGCTCAGTGTCTGAGGAGCAAGATGATCCCAGCATGATCATATAGTGACGTATCAGATCACCAAGACACAGAAAGTGACACAAATATAATTGTTATAATCGCATGTTGACTCAAATGATATGACTTAACTGTATCTATAACTTATCCAAAAGCTGTTAACACTTTATTATTTATTTATGGTATAAGTTTTGACATAGATTTTTCCAGTGAGGTGAAAGAAATACTACTAAGGGATACGTTTGCCCTAGGTTCTGTAGTTAACAGACTGGTCCACTCTGAGACTGGGTCCAATCTTCAGTACCTATTTGATAGTTGTAATACTAAACTTTGTGATCTTGGATGATATTAAACAAAATCTCGTTTCAAAACAATACGAAATGAAAATGCATGGCTCAGGTGCAGTCAAAGAAGGGAATAACCCACTGGCATGGTGTTTCTTCTTCCCTTTCTACCTCATTTTATGCTTTCTCTTACCTAAGTCACTTGCTCCAACACGAGCCTTCCACACGTTTCTTTGAATTTTTGACACACCAGCGTTACTACTGTTAATTTTCCTCAGATCTTCTTTTTATAAATGTTCAGAGGCCTCTAACTTACACATTTTATATTTCTCATCTGCGTTCCCTATTAATCTAATTAAGCCTACTTTTCAAAGGTGCTGAACACTTAAAAATGTTGTTGAAGTAAGTGGGAATTAGAACTTTGAATATGTCAAGTACTACACAAGTGAAAAGTATAACAAAATCAGGGTTCTCAAAGTATGGCATCTAAATTGAATAGACATTTTCAATTTTTTTTTTTAACGTTACAATTCCAATCTGTAAAACTGACAAAATAGCAACTTTAGATGTGGACATCATGTTAGAGAAAAATCATCAGTTAGTTAAACACTCAGTATGGTGCCTTAATTTTCAAAAGAAAGCCCATGAGAAAACTGGTAACTTCATATAATATGCAAGATTTGGAGGATCTGCTGCAAATAGAACAGGGGAACATGATGTCCATAACTAAATTAAAGGGATTATTAAATAGACATTAGATGGGTACTGCCCTGTTTGTCATTAAACAGAGCAGAGATCTTGTTAAAATCAGTATGTTATTGTGCAATTAGATGTATCAGAAATGCATATGCCCATGGGAGTTGAATAAAAACTGCAGACTACGTTATTACATCTTGGGTGGTGGTGGCTAGCAGAATATTAAAAAAAAGAACGTGAGTATTGTTGTGAACACTTCACTGGTAGAAAGATAAAGACAGATGCAGAGACTCTAAAGGTCTGCTGTTTCCATTGTTTGGCTCAAGGCAACCGCGTGCAAGGCTAAGATTATAAAACAATCAGCAATGCTGTTTAAACAGATATTGGCATATGACAGCAGTTTAATTTTATGTATGAACAGGAAGTAACCATTATAAATTTATCAACTCCCTAATTTCCACTGTGAAATGAAAAAACAAAAATTTCCATAATCACTTACCCAGCATTATACATAATATTACATGTTAACTCAGAGTCTTTGCCTCAGAAAATTTAGAAATTCAAAGAAATATCTGTCTCTAAAACAGTCATACCCATACTTGTTCTCAGAGGAGAAATAAGAAACTTTATTTTTGCGGATTGAATACTCCACAGAAAAATATGCTAAAACTGGATTTATGCACCTTTTTCCTATCTCATGTCTCTTAAATATATTGCAGTAAGAGTCATAATAACTATAAAATCCCTAACAGCAAATCCATAATCCCATGTTTATATTCTCTACATGACTTCTGCTACACCCTTACTATGCTGTCTCTGTTTGAATGGGTTCTCCATCCTTGCTTTGACACTTAAAAAACCTCAGCTTTCGAATATGAATGTTTAACTTAAATGAAATTTAGTATTATTTTTATAACTTCAAGGAAATAAGCTGCTCTTTAAGGGAACAACAGCAATACAGCTTTGAGGCCTATAGGTCATTATTCATTTTATTCAAGAACTGACCTTATGTCAATATTATTACTGTTATCGGAATTATTAAACTGGCCTTTAATAATTCGACTAATCAGGAGTCACTGTAGTTGACTAAGATCAATGACGAATGATACTAAATGCTTTCAATACAGATGATTTAACTCAAATACTGAAAAACACAAAGCCTAAAATAATCAAGAATTACTGAAGGACAAAACTTGAAAACCACCCATAGGGCTCAACTTAATTTGGATAAATATTGAAATGCTAGGTCTGAGCATCTTCCCAAACCTTTAGGAGCAGACTCTCAAGAATAAATTATTTATTGAGATGTCAGAACAATAAATACCGTTATATCATTATCATTTCTAGCAAACTACCAAATTCAGTAAGTGAGGGAAAGTAAAGGCATAAGAAACAAAGAGAAACCAGTCAACTCCTTCACATTTTTATATTACCAAGGTTTATTTCATGCCTTGGGCATAATTCTCAACTTTTTTTTTCCTATTGTTTTTCCCCATATATGCTAGGCCTTGTCAATCACGTAATGGTAATTACAACAAAACTTGGGTCATTCATTCTGGTTTCTGTTAATATTTTAGGTAATGACTCTAAAATCCGATTTTCATATATCGTACATTTAGTGAGATATGGTCTATTCCTGCAATAAATCTAAAACTTCAGAGCAATTTCTTTATTGTTTGATTTAATATTACAGCAGAAACATGCTGGGCAAATAGCAATATCTGCATCTGTGCTGCCAGTCATTAAAGATAGTTTAAATTGTTAAATCTCCTTCAACTGAGGAGAAACCTCAAATGTCAAAGCTCAGTTTGTTGTCAGCAAGCTTCATACTCAGCTGCTACCTTTCAATTTTTTATTAGCGCTTAGAAAGAAATAACACATCAAGGTCAGTTAGCAGACCCACCAGTTGTTCATAGAGTTTACTCACCCTTTGACCTTCTTTGCCAGGTGGACCTTGGGGACCCTCCAATCCTGGCAAACCCTGAAAATACAAACATTAAACAAGTATAACATTCAATGCTATTTTCATCCTGCATTATTCTATACAAGTGAGACTATGCCAAAGAGCCAGATGTCAAGACAAAGCATTTATTTATAATAATAAAAACAGGTGATTCATAATAACCTCTTTCAGGCTGATGTTATATTTAAGAGCAGAAAAAATGCTAACAATAATTATTAATTACATTCCTCCATGTAAAGACTGAATCACTTGGAAAAGAAGAGGTAAGTCAGCACTACTCAAGCATAGTTATGAATATACTTAGCTACAGTTTTAGATGAACAGTTCCTTATCTTCTTAAGTTAGGATGCCATAAGGAAACAGACAAGTTATATTATAAGAACGACAACTTTACAACTCAAATTCAAATACAGGCACTGGAGGGAAAGCAGAAAGGAAGGGGACATGCTCATATGGCCTTATATTTAGGCAGAAGGCCTTATGCTTACTGTATTGTAATCAGCTCTATGCAGTCTCCCCAGTGTGCCTGGCTGGGCTTTTCAAAACCCTCATGAGCCCCCCTCTTTTCCTCTCTCCCTTGACCAGACACATGAGCTTTAGGTATCTCAATATTCACTCTACTTCGCACCTTCCTTTCAAATTCAATGCAGGGACCTGTCTTTCCTGTCACAGAATCAGAGACCGGTTTTGAGGTTTTAATTTTATATCTGATTAACATACAATATAATCCTAAAGCCATCAAGTAACAGCTTTGTGCTTAGAACAATGCTGCCCTTGCTTTATCAGTCATCCTGGAACACAAATACTTCTTAAAATGACTTTGGGGAAGCTATCCAATTTCCATTTTAGCCATAAAAAGTATGAAATGAGCTTTGATATAATCAGCAAAGAATACAGAACTGTTCTACTTCATATAATTAAAAACAAATTCAGTGTAATATTGCATATTCTTATAAGGTATGAGAAAATTAGATCAGTTTAATTTAACAACAGTTCAAAATATTAATTTCTTAATCTCTTAAATTTCTCAGATCCAGTTATTACTCAAGCTATACCTATACATCTGGTGAAATTCTGAACTCCTTATTTAGAATCAGTTATGCATCTTTACTCTATTGCCCCAAAAAGGATAAACTGAGGCCCCATAAGAATCACGTTTTAACAAAAATGCCGAGATTTACAGAAATGAACTTAAAAAAAGTTTATGATCTCTAATTCCCAAGATAAACTTGAGAAAGTAACTTGATCCTGTCAAAACTGCTTGCTTCAAGTGACATTATCACTTGGTTAAAATGAAGTCTGGTTTCAATTTTAAATTAAAGTATTCAGTTCAAGAGTTTTTCTTTTCCTATCATTTCTCCACATTCAAATACTGAAGCTAGAAGAATACCTGAGACATTATTTCACTACAGAGTATTTCTTCTTTTACTTCAATTTATAATGTTAATGAAGTAAGATATAGGATCTTTTGCAAAACTGCCACATATTATTTCCTTTATTTTTCCAAAAGTTTATAGAGCTAGAATATGCATGACAATGAAAAACGTGTCCAGTAAATTACAGTATGTTAATTACAGTGCAGTTATGGAGCTTATATATTGCTTATAAAGCAATATGTGAACATGAGCTCTGTAAATCTCATCTTTTTCTCTCCAAGGCAGTTTGAAAATTTGCTAAGAATTCTCACTGTCCAACTGTTATCAATATTCTACCTTTGCAGAGAAATTCTGGGAATTCAGGAAGAAGTTGAGTTTTGTTTTGTTAATATTTCATTTTTAGGGACAATTTTATGCAGGCGAATGAGATGAAATTCTGCAACGTCTGTTCTATGAAGGAGGAAATACTTAGCCTCACAAATCTGTACAACGAGGTTCCAAGGGGATAAGAATTCTACAAGAATATATCTGCACAATAATGATAATTAATAGCCAACATTTTTTATTCTAGACTTTTATTCTTTTTCTTTTCTCTCTACAATATTATTGTTAAGAAAAAGGAACCAGATAAGAAGGTTTATCTTCAAGGAAAGGGAGGAGAGCTGCTTACAATTGGTGACTAGGCAGGGAGGACCACTCTGTACAAGGAGCCATATCCTGACATTGAAATTGAGGAAAAAGTTCACACTAATTTCAGAGAGATCTTCAGTTTAAAAAGTGATACGACAACACGGACCACGTTAACTAACATGGCTGTAAAACTGTAATAACTTAGCAATGGTAATGAATTAGCAACAACATCACTATTCACCATTCACGAATGTGATCCTGGATAAAACTGACTACAACCTTTAAAACACTACTCAAAGAAACCTGCAGAAAGAATGAAAGAATAACCTTCTTAACAGCAAAATTTCTCTAAAGGGATAAGTAAAACATCGCTTGTTAAAATCCTGTAAAACTTAGCAATGAACTAAGAAGTTCATCACGGAAAAGGAGTATATATTTGTAAGAAGGCAAACCAAAGTATCTACTTAGTCTTTTCTCTATTTAACTTCTGGAGATCTTCCTTTGGAGATCAAAGATCATATTTTCCACTTCCTTAAATTATAGAGGCTCAGCTGGTGGACAAAACCCACCAAAAGAACCTCCCACTACCACAGACGGAAAGAGAAACAAACAGAACATACGGTGACGTATGGCTCTATGGAATATTCTGCTGATTGTGTTGAAAATCTTTATATCCAAAGGCGATCTATATTACATGTACTGCTTTCCCAGGTAAACATGAGCAGTGTTATCCAAAGCAATTCAAATGATCCTTTCTGTGTCAATTTTTACTCAGGTAGTCTTGTACTGGCAAGAGCATGGGGATGGCGATGAGGCAAAAGGAGGTATAGGAATAGCACAAGGCGAAAGGAGATATAAGAGCAGCACTATTCCAGCAGCATCAGCTGAACAGGAAAATATAAGGCATCCTTACAGAGATGGCCTAATATACATGGGATTGTCCTGACTCTGTCAGGCCACCTTTGAGAGTAGAAGATGATGCCCTTCTACAGACTTTGTGGAGAAATGAATTAAAATAACATATGTAGTCTTTATGGCCTGTACCTTTCTTTGGACAGGTAAGTCCCTTGGAGTTATATGCCTGAAGAAGCTTGATGAACGTGAAGTGGAAATATGTTTCAAACATTAATGTGCAGCTTGTGGGGAAAAAGCCAATGAGCCAGAGGTGGGCTCAGGTGTAACTGAAACTTAGGAAAACTGCAGTTAGGGAGAAGGGCTACAAAAAGCAACAAAACATAATATACAGCCAAACACCAGGTTGTACAATCTTGAAAATGAAATTGAGAGTGGAAACTTGTGAATTCCTTTATGAAGAGGTAAACTGTAATGGGAAGTTTGGGCAAAGGAAAATATACTGGTTGTGAAGTCAGGCAAAGAAAAAGCAGGTGTGCTGGGAAGCACAAGCTCACAGATATTTAAACAAAATGATGATCAAAACCTAGTCTAAGGTTTAGTCTAAACGAATGGAGAAAAAGTGGCAGGTTTAAAAAATGCTACAGTAGAATAAGTGAAGATTTAAAATACTTTGTATCTTGTATTGTGAATATCTGTAGCAAATAAATTGTTTATTATGTAGTTATGACATCATAAAAATATCAGAGCTATTACAAAATAATTAGATATATGCTTTGTTTAACATCTTAACCATCTTAATCTTTGATAATACAAAACAATTATTAAAATTTGCAGACAGTGTGCTCTAGGTTAATATTTTTTGGCAAGTAACTGGAGATACAACCTTAGGAGCGTTACTAAACATGAGATGGGAGTGAAATGTGTTTGGAAGGTAGTTGATAGAAATAACAAGGAACAGTCCAGCCAGTTAAACTGTTTTAAGTTTCATAAGGTATCAGTTTAAAGTTTACTAGCTGGCACGTAACTATCAGAAGCTGTGTACTACAGGAGAATGGCTAAAATCCTGTCATGTGACCAAACAGATACAGAAGAAAAATCAATTATCAGTCACATGAAGACAAATGTCTACAGACACACTGTGGAGACTTGGTTCATAATGTAAAAGTTCAAAGTAACTGCCTACGAACACACTCAGAAGAAAAGCAAAGCAATTATCATGACCTCTTGGTCAATTAAAAAAAAACAAAACAGCTGAAGTGGAAGAATGAAGTTACTTAAAGTTGTTATTCATATTACTTCCCCCGGAAGCTTACAGCTGATGCCAAAAGCATATTCGACAAGTATTATACAAGTAAGTATATTTTTAGTTTTCTGAAAGTTACTTCAAAATGTACCTGACAGTTTTTGAAACAGAAGGCTAGACAGCTGCTTTATGCACTGTTGTAGGTAGCGTGGCTGAAACAGATTTGTAACACGACAGCCTTTCCCTCTCAACACAAATCAGATACGGAATGCAAACGCTAATAGTAAAACAAAAGGTCTCATTAAGGCACAAAAAGTACTTCATCACAGACCTTTATAGATTATTTTTCCACCTCCTATACATAAAACTGACTTCACCCATTTTTTTCCTCACTGTAAACTCAGGCTCGCATATGATCTTGAAAGCTCCTGACATTCAGTGAGGCAAATCAAGTAAAGACACAGACAAAGCCTAAATTAGCTATGCAGAATCATTTCTTGTGGTACTGTAAAAACAGGTCATTTTTTGCCATCTGAATATGTGAGTTTTTATAACTTGCTACTTTAAAAAGACTCAGCTGTCAGAGACAGTATTTGGCAAAGCAGTTTGGAAATTAGTGTTTATAAACAGAAAAGTATAGTTCTACTGAAACTGCACATAAGAAAATCAACAGTATTATTTTCTTTTATAAGTGAATTGGTGGGTGATTCCCACCGCAGGGACTTGACCTAGTTCTTCAACGCACAGTTCTCACTAGTATAAAGAACAGCTCCGGCACACTGATGAATCAGATATAGAACGATCCCTCTGTAAAGCCCACAAGCACAGCAGTAGAAGATCACACAAATCAATAGTCAGGTAAAAAGTGACCACTTATTTCAAGAAGAATCCTAACGTAACATCACATGGGATCA